ATCAAATTTCAGCATCAACATTATATATGTAAAATCTTATTCTTAGAAAACATAATAAATTGGTGTAACAAATGGTGGTGAGTGTGGAGAGACAGGTGGATATATTGGGATAGACTTTGTTTTAAGGGTATGATGTGTAACATATGTATGAGTGGTGGAGTTTAGTTTTGATGAATTGAAGAATATGCCATTCCATGAAACAAAGTGGGGTTTGTAAGTGGAATCACTTTAATTGCCACCTACTATTAACTAATTTAATTAATTATTATATAAAAAGACTGAAATCCCCAAAACCAAAACCCACTTTGCCTCCTCTCCCACTTTCACTTTTGAATTTAATATATATATGATTGTGCTAATGGAATTTAATTCTATTCCACAACAGTTTCTCACTGTCTCACTTCACCACACCTCTGGCTACGGCCCCAACCAAATCTTCATTTTTCAAATAACAACGATACGCCTACATCACTGAATTCTCTTTTTACATATTTAAACTATGTTAAAACTTGCAATTGCAAATTACTCCCATTACGAGATTTATACCCTTCAGTGGTCATCTCTATTACTAATTGAAGTGATTTAAATTTAAAATCTTTTGAATAATTCATCTAAGAGTCATTGTCAAACTACTTGGTCACGAAAGATGATTAAATAATTAAATTAAACATGGTTCCAGTGGGGCTCGAACACACGACGTTTGACTTATAAGACCAACGCTCAGGAAAAAAGGGAAAGAAATCAAGGTAGTGGATACCTCTTCTATATTGGCAACTGGCAAGTGGTTACGTATTGAGAGCATCTAATATGAATTAAGATTGTAAAATGTTAGTCAAACTATTTGAACTGAAAAGAAGAAATCAATGTTGACGAATCAGATTCATGTAATTGAATCCTATGACTTTGATGTTGTTTGGTTATCGCGTTTACTCTCTACCAAATATAAATAAGAATAAGTCTATCTTTAAAAAGAAGCCTACAAAGAAGTTTATAAAGTGAAGAAAAAAACAAAAGAAAAACAGAAAAAGAGAAAGAGAGAGAGAGAGAAATGATGAAGATGAAGGGTGGAGGTTAATTTTGTGTGCCTCCTTTGTAAGTTTCTTTGTAAGACTAGCTTACTGTATAAATAATATTATACTATTATCAAGTAATGAAAAAGTCAATTAATCTTTAAACTATATATAATAATACACGTAGAGCTCCACCATTTTTCTGAGCATTAGTATCTAATTCCAAGTTCCAACCACTTTATTGTTGTTAGTGGATTATGAGTCCATTGATCATATTATTAATCAAGTTTATTATCACTAATTATAGGTTACCCCTTAATGAATTAAACTAAGATAATGCTAACGACTGAATTTTCTCTTTCTCTACTGTATATTGTTTTTATTCAGTCTGGTTTTCTCTCCCTTCCATTTTCTATCATAATGCTTCTACTTTTATGAGTAATATTAACCTTACAAAAAGGCATATAAAGACCCATACAAAGAGTTAAATCTAACCCTTGAAAGAAGGGAAAAAGAGGCAATCATGAATTTCAAAGGCTGAATTTGACTCTTTGTATGGGTCTTTGTATGCCTCTTTGTAAAACTAGTATTACTCCTACTTTTATACACTTAGATCTCCGTCCAACCAATATGACAATACAAAATTAATTTTTCTAAGACGTGGACTTCAACTGCGGATTTCTCTTTACAAATTACGTAAGACTTGAACTACGTAATTCATAAAGAGGACTCTCAAGATCTTTGAATGTGGATATTGTTCAGAAAATAGAATGTGTCTCCCGGCCATTTATACAAAGGAAAATGTTATGCTAGCTGATGCATGCTTGATCTCCATATATATTAGTTAAACTGGAAATGATATAAAGTAATGATGCCATTGCTCTATAACTTGATAAATTTAGAAAATATAAGGTTGGTAGCCACCGAAACTATGACGAAAATCTGTCTATCTAGTAGAAAGATGAGATGATTGTGCAGAATCAAGATTGGCCAAAACTCTACAAACTTGTACTTGCATATTCAGAAAGGTGTCTGCAGTGTTTTGTTTTGGCCCCGTCATTATCCATCTAGAGAAAGTGTTCAATGGATGACAAACAGCGAGGCATGAGGCACGTATTGCTGTTGATCGAATCGATCATTTGATGTGGTAAGAACAATTGACGATTGAACGCTAGGCCACAGTTGATACAATGTGGCCCATAAAGACATGTCACGCATGGTGAGCATAATTAGAAAGGCACTTTTGTGTGATTTTGTCAAAACAAGTAGACTGCTGTATAGTACTTAGCTGTGAGACCAATTTTGTGAATCAAAAGGAGTGATTCTTCCACTATATACACTGTCTTTCCATTGTGGAAAAGTATTCTGTCCATATTCCTCGGTTAAGCTTCTCCAACTATTTCTTGATTTGATTGCTACTGATCATTATGCTTAATACTGTTCTGAATTCTTGTAATGATGCCTATCATGACTTATTTGAAACCCTCTACGATCAAAATTTTTACATATAAAAATCTCTGTGTACTCAATATATGCACATGCGAACACCAAAAAGTTAATTACTAAGAATTTTTTCATGTAAATTTATAATGCTTGAAGAACTGTTAGATGGTGATCACCTTGAATGTGTTCTTCAGATTTCTGCAATCCACCATGCTCAATAATGCAAGAAGCAGTAGTGTCCAACAATATTAGAATAAACTTAATGTGTGTGAGAGAGAGAATTGAGTCGGCAAATTGCTTCATTAAAGTATGATTTATGTTTTGTCTTCTTTAACAATAGGTAGTCTATACCGCACTAATAAATTAGGACACCAAACTCATTGCTATGCTTCAACAGTATGCTTTAGGTTTAAGTTTAGCTTTCTTCCAAAAGTGAACAGTTTAGTGACATAAGCTGTTTTAACATGGTGTTAAATCAGAAATTCTATTTTTATCTTTTATTTACATTATTCATATTTTTGTTAGTCTGTATCTGAAACTGTTTTGACTATTTTTAACTTTTGGTTCTAGTGGTTACTTAGATTTAAAAGGATTACATTCAGGGCAGATAAATGAAGAAATGGGACTTTATAATCCACCAAGACGGGAAGAAACTTTGGAGAATCAAGTCGAAAAGATAGTTAGGAATTAGTCATTTTCAAGCAACACTTTTGAGTATTATAAATGTATTTCCAACTAGATAGTGTGTTAGTGGTGTTAGACTTTTATCACTCTTTTAAAGATGGTGCCTAAATAAAGAACAAACTTATTGCCCTTTCGTCGTCTTTCCAGTTACCTAATTAATTAACTCATTGCCCTCTTCCACATCATTCTAATGGGCAATAAACACATTTTCTGCATAAATAACCACACTCAAATTATACCCGGTTCAATTCCTAAAAAATCTTTGCAAAATGGCCTCGATGTTGGCGGCGTTTGATTGGCATAAATAGAATAAAGTAAACTGATGCCAGAAAACACTTACTGATTTAGTAGATTTGGAAGCATTTTTGTTGCTTCCTTTTCTCCTGTCTTTTAACAATACTGGTAAGACAAGATCTTCAACTGGGAATCTAAGAAGTGATGCCTTTGCATATTCTGTTTCTTTTCTGAAACATTTGAAACAAATTATGAGCTAACATGTGAAGGCCATCACGGGAATTTCCTCAGATATCAAAACAAAAACAAAAAACACAGAAGGGCCAGCTGACATTATTTGATGCTTTTGCTATAGGTGGCCAAAAACAAACCCCATTTCATTTGAGCATACAATTAAATTTTTGCTTTTCATGTTGTGGGTTGTTGACACATGGATCAAATGTGCAGCAATTAGAGAGATTTTGATTTTTGTTGCATGCCACGTGCTTTCTTTCTCTAGGCAAAGAAGAGGTTGACAGAATCATATTTGCCTTTAAAGCAAAGTCTAAATTGATTTGTTTTATTATTTTGAATAGTATTTTAGAAATATTATTGATAGTTAGAATTGAGTGATTATTACGAGGTAGAATTTAAAAACTAACAAAAAATCCTATAGGTTTGCTAATTTAACTTAACACCCCAATATATAATTTTTTTGTAAAATAACAAAAACACTCCCACCACACACCACCACCATTGGAATCTGGCGTTATGGTGCACGATCGGCTGGATTTCGTCTGTCGTGCACCGAGATGGCCTTTTCTAGCTAAATCCATCATGGATCTAGCTAGAAAATGCCAGATCTACGACTAGATCTGACTATGTTTGGTCATCAATGATGGCCAAAGATATGGTCGTCGTTGAAGACCAGCTACGGCCAAAGATCTGGTCATCAACGATCAGATCTTTGGTTGTGGATCTGACCGATAAATGATAGATTGGTGCACTACCGGTCAAATCTAGTCGGTAGTGCACCATTATACCAGATTCCAACTACTTTTCAGCAGTGGTGATCAGAATCTGGTAAATGTGGATGGGTGGGTGGGGTATTTTTGTTAATTTCTAAACTTTTTATAGGGGATGTTTAGTTAAATTAATAAACTTAGGAGGTTTAAAATAGTTGAATAAAATATAATAGTATTTTCAGGATAGGGAAACAAACGTGTATTTTGTAAATAGTATTAATAGGATAATAAAAATAATTAAATAAACGGACAGTTATGAAATCAAGCTACTGCATTTTTAGTCTCATTAAAATGTTTTCCACCCTGGTGAACATAATTGAATTATGAAAATGAAATAAACCCATTTTAAAAGGTAGAAAATAAAATAAGCTGGGGTTATCCTGGACATTTAAGGAACAAATATGAGATTGAATTCTCACAAGTATTAATAAAGGATAACCAGTGAAATATTACTTGACCGTTAATTTTAAGACCTAAAAAATTACTTAAGATATATACAAAATATCCCTAAGACTCGGATACCCAAAACAAAACAAAACAAAAACAAAAATTAAGTTGGAGCCGTGCAATATTTGTCTGATACTGTTGGTATATTCTTTCCCGTAAGAATTGAATACATAATTCATAATCTATTTCTGTTACATCTCAGAGCGATGTGAAAGCACTCAACAAAACACACAATACACCCATCTGCCAACCAACGAGAGACAACTGAGTGAGAGAGAGCGCTAAGTCTGTGTACGTGTGCAATGTGTTCAAGCTTCGTTAATGGCTTGATGGGTGAGATTCAGGGAGGAACTATACCTCTCTGAGTTTCCTACCTCTTTCCTTTTTTTCTTTTGCTTTCGTTCTGTTTCTTGGTTGTCAAACAAAGTGCAAGAAAGTGAGAGAAAATCTTGGAAATGAGTTGTTATCACCAACTTCTGTTCTGGGTTGACTCCCTTTGATCAACAACTCGTGTAGTCTCTGTGCTGCTTTCTGCAACAAATGGTTCGCCCCTTGCCCTTCAGGTTCTTGCTTTAAATCTCTCCTTTTAATTTCACGTTTATTAGGTTCTTGCCGTTCATGTATTTAATCAATATGTTATCAGTTTTGTTCTAATCTTATGAGACTGCTTTGAGCATGTTATTTATGATTCTTAGAGTGATGTTTTTGAAAGAAATAGTCTTTGGAATTGAAGTTGGTAGGTAAAAAGTTCATTTAGAAATAGATGGAGGATGCAATTTGAATCTTTCTGGCATCATGTATTTCTGTTCTTTCTCTTCCAAGTTGATGTTTTTGTGTAAAGTTCTGTCTTGGATATAAAATTTAACATGTCTGCAATGCATATTGATTGTTTATGAAAGTTTCGTTCAACATGAACTTAATATACTACCCAAAAAGAACTTTAAGGAAGTTCAAATTTCTATGGTAATGAGTATGTCAAATTTACTTTAAAGCAAATTCTTATAGCTTTGATTCTTTTTATTGGTAGGGAAGTCTACGATGTAAGTTTAAGAGTAAATTTACCTATCATGTTTTTATACTGAGATATTTCTTTAAGAAAGGTTGCTGGAAATTCAGTGGTTAAAATTGCATTCTCATATTCACCCCTTTCTATTATCTCTTGATATTAAACAATTTTAACACAATATTGAGATTAGTTGCTGTTGCAGATCCAATGAAGATGTTATATGGGTTAAAGAGGCTTGCTTTACTCAAGGCAAAGACAAGTGCTGATTGAAGAGGGATCATACAATACATGGCCAAGCTTTATTTGAATCAAGTTGTCAGATATGCTGCTGATTGATTGTTTCAGTTGGCAACTCAAATGTGATTAATCTTGATGTTTTCTGATATTTAGTTGAACTTGTTACGCAGGATCCTTTGTCAGTGCATCCACTGACTGAAACTTTGGCTTCATTTTGGGGGCAAATCTCCTTTGGCAATATAAATTCAGTTCTTTAAAGTAACCAAAATTTTCAGATTTTGGCTGTACAAATTTGCAACATTTAGCTTTCTGGGGCAAATCTTCTTTGGCAAAATCAATTTTAGATTTCCTTTGGTTGGATGACCTTCCTTGGCAGTGGCTAATCGGGGAGAAACCATTTTTCTTGGAAATTTATTTGTTCGGAACTTGATCCTCACTGCAAGGCAAGTCTCCTTCGGCACCCAGAGTTTCAGTCTGACTGTAGAACAATCCCATCTTGCAGTTGTAGCTCTTTGATACTTTTGCAGTTGGGAAGTCTCCTTTTGAAGTTTCATCAAGTGAAACGTCTGTCCATTCTGGGCAAATCTCCTTTGGCATTTGGAGTCCTTACTGGACTCCAGTTAATCCCTGCAGGGGCAAATCTCCTTTGGCATTAGATTTCCAATTTTTCAGGTCACATTATCCTGTTTGATATATCGGCTTATCAATTGGAAGATCTTTCATTTAAGTTCTCAGCAAAAGATTATACTTTTTTTTTTGGAATCGACGTCAACTAGCAACCCTTATTGCAATACAATTTAAGGACTTACTTGGCATCACCATTAAAAGATTCAATTCCCCTTCAAGAGGGTGCAAAGTTGATGGTAACTCTCTTCATCCCTACTCTGTAATTATTTTTTTTTCTGGGTTTGTACTTACAAATGTCTATTATTGACCGTAAGTTACTCAATCTAGCTATAATGAAGTGAACATTAGTTCAATAATTGCTCTTAGATTCCGTTCTTTCTCTTATTAAAATTAGAATTACCATACAGGTTATGTGCTTTCTTTTAAAAAATTGTTTTCGGGTGAAAATCCTGCTCTAATATAGAGTAGAGAAGAGCAAAGTATTTGAGCAAATTCCAGAACAGAGAACATCAATCTGATTTCATCTGCATTGGTGACAGAGGTGAGAAATTTTGATTGATGAGTTATGCAATTAAAGTTTCCTCCATTTCTACCTTCTTTCTTTTCCTTCTAGGCATGTTATTTATGTAAACTAAGATGTGTAAATATCTCTTTTGTTAGGCATTTCAACGATGGATGTGCTAGTTAGTGACTCTGATTGGGAGAGTTTCAGTGAGAGTGGGAGTAGTGATGGGCAAGAGGAAATGGATACTTTGTATGGTGGGCATGCTAGTAGCATTTTGTCAAGCTTGGAGGAGAGCATTGGGAAAATTGATGAATTTCTGTCCTTCGACCGGGGATTCATACATGGGGACATTGTGTGCTCTGTAACAGATCCATCTGGACAGATGGGCAGAGTGATTAATATTGATACCCTAGTGGATCTAGAGAACATGCACGGGAAAGTTATGAAAGAAGTATGTTCCAAAAATATCTTAAGGATCCGCTCCATTTCGGCTGGGGATTATGTGGTCCAAGGTGCATGGCTGGGAAGGGTGGACAAAGTGATTGACTCTGTTACTGTCGTCTTTGATGATGGGACAAAGTGTGAGGTCACTGCTGTGGATCAAGAGAAGCTCTTACCTGTTTCCACCAACAAGTTTTTTGAAGATTCACAGTTCCCATACTATCCCGGACAGAGAGTGCAGCTTAGGCTATCCAATGCTTCCAAATCAGTTAGATGGTTATGTGGTACCTGGAAAGAAAATCATGTTGAGGGAACTGTTTCTAAAGCAGATGCAGGTCTGGTTTATGTGGATTGGCTTGCCTCTGCTCTCACAGGTTGTGATTTTAGTTTACCTTCTCCCTCACGTCTACAGGACTCAAAAAATTTGACCTTGTTGTCAGGTTTCTCCCATGCAAATTGGCAGCTCGGTGACTGGTGTATGCTTCCAGCTGCTGATTGCAAGGGTATTTTAGAGCCTTTTTCTGTCAGCTCTTCTGCTTGTCATAATAAGAAATTTGAAAGAGGATTGAAAAGAAGAAACCTTTGTTTTACTGTGGCAGAAATTTTTGTTATCATCGGGACGAAGACCAAGGTTGATGTGGTGTGGCAGGATGGTAGCTATTCTTTGGGAGTAGAGTCTGCAACGCTACTTCCTATTAATGTTGTGAATGCTCATGAATTTTGGCCTGAACAGTTTGTACAGGAAAAGGGCATTTGTGATGATCCACATATTTCTAATAGTCACAGATGGGGGGTGGTGCGGGGTGTGGATGCTAAGGAAAAGACTGTAAAGGTACAATGGAAAACTAAGGCCCTGAATGAAGCAACTGACCCCATTGGAGATCAGATGGAGGAAACTCTGAGTGCCTATGAACTTTTAGAGCACCCAGATTTTTCCTACTGTTATGGGGACGTTGTGTTTAGGTTGGTCCATAACCGGTTTACTAATCAAGCTGATAAAGACCAGAAAAGCACCGAATTTGGCGTGGTTAAAGCTGATGAAGACCAGAAAAGCACCGAATTTGGCATGGTTAAAGCTGATGAAGACCAGAAAAGCACCGAAATTGGCATGGTTAAGGAGGCCACTATGGAAGGCCAAAACTATGGTTGGGATAAGAATGATTGCCCCGATAAAGGTTACCCATCTTGCATTGGCATTGTTACAGGCTTCAAAGATGGTTCTGTGGAGGTGAAATGGGCTGCTGGTTTTACGACCAAGGTATGAGAAATTTGGTCATCCTTATTGTTTGATTGAAATTGGATGTGGTCAGTTTTTTTTTTTTTTTAATTAATTAATTGTATATATTTTTTGTGGAGTAGGCTTTCCGTTCCACTTGGTTTTTAGACTTTGTTATGAGACTTTGGAATTGGTCATGGCCTAGTGTGGTGTGCATTTGACTCCATAATTAGTTGCTAGGAAATTTTTCTGAAAATCATCTCACGCAAGATTACTTTATATTTTAGGTAAAATAGAATGGAAGTTTAAATTCTATGTTTGCATATTTTGATGTATAACTGAACGATTGTAATCTGACCATACTTCATACTTGTCTACACTATTGTTTTCCTTGTTCGAGGGCAACTTCCAGTAATTGTAACTCTTGCTCAGATGGCCCTCTTATCATAGCCTACAAACAATATTTTGCTCAGCTGCTTTGGGATCAATATACAGTAATTTTATTTTCAAAGATTGCTGATTAATCCTGAGTTCTTTAACGTTGCTTGATTATTTTATCCTTTTGGCATTATAGTAGCAAAACAGTCTCCAAGTCGTACGATGACAGGCATCTTTCAATGGGTGATGCTTTTATGCGTCAATGGATGAACACTTGCATGCACACATGTTTTGTTGATATTAACTAACAACAATTTTAATATAATTTATGGGTTATTCTGCACATCAAGCCCCTATTTGAAGGGTTGCATGTGGCTGTGTTAAGTATATTTGCTCAGGGATAGATTCAGACCCTAAAAGAAAATGGTGGTTGAGACTACTATTAAGTTTGGTTCAGGATTGATCTGTTTCTCGCCCTTGTAGAAAAAATATGGAATAGATGCCTCAGCCATCCTTGTGGGTCTACTGTAGGATCCAACCTTCAGTGACCATTAAACTTGTATGATAACAGAAGTACTAGGCATAACAGTTATGGTTTTTCCTCATTTATCCAACGGCAGCTACTTAAGAAACTTGTTTTTCGTTTACTGGGTATTCTGGCTTTTGCATCACTTGGTTGTGTTGGTTAGAAGCTCAGCATCCTTAAATTTATAATTGACATTTTTACAGGTTGCACCTAATGAGATTTATGGGATGGACAAATATGAGGGTTCAGCTACAACTCCTGTGCTCCATGCAGAAAATGACGAGGAATTGAATCAAGAGATACATGACAAACAGAAAGGAAAGGTAAAGTAATTTCTTGTTCTCTGTGACACACACATCCACACACATATGGTCTTAGAAAATGATGGTCAACTTCTCATTTGACTGCTTCAATATTGTGAAAAGAAGTGGGGAAGTCTGTTACTTATAATAAGGAAGTGGGAAACTCTAGTAATAATTTGTTGAAAATTAATTGATTGAATAATTTGACAAATGGAAACTTTCTTCAAAAAAACAGCGTAACTTTACTCTCTTAAATAATGATCATTATCTTAACTAACAAATCTTGATAATGATTCAGGATGTTTACTGAACATTTGTGGCTTCTGGTTATATTTTACTAGTTATTAATGGTACATGATACATTTGAGGGACATTCCTTTTGGAAAATGTGACATATAATCTAGAACCTTTCTTCAAGTGTTATCCCATTCTTTCATGCTATTAAGTTGGATTTGTAAGAAGTAGCAAAACAAAACATATTGATAGAAACTGGATCATGAAAGCAGCCACTTCAACCTAACCCCGTATAAAGATCAAGTATTTGTAGCTTGACTTTCAATGAAAGGTTATGAAACAATTACTGACTATATTTTCTTATGTATAAACTACTTTGCATTTTCTGGTATTTCAAAAATGGCTTGCAGATAAGTTTGTATTATGTGCATTTGTCCCCTAAAAAGCTGAATAACTGTGTATTTTTATCCTCAGAATTTGCCTAATTTGAATGGCGCTGGTGAAAATTGCAACAAGTACCCATGTGAATTTAGTTCCTTTTTCCTTCCTCGAGCTGCCATTGGATTTTTCGCAAGCATTACGACAAGTCTGTTTGGATCCCGTGGTTCCACCCCTCTGTCATGCCCAACATTGTCTGGTCATATATCTGGAGATGCAAATGAATCTGATCTTCTCCTTAAAAAAGAGATATCAACAACTTGTGATAACTGCAGTGAGCCACATTCGACTGAGTTGCAAACATTTGGACAGAAAAATTTATGTGAGGAAGTTGAGGATAATCAAGAGAAAGATGGTTTCAAACTTTCAACAGCTTGTCAGAACCCATATCAATTTAGGCAGTTTGATATGGTTAGTGATTGCTCAGATCACCACTTTCTCGATGCCAGCAAGGGTTTAGCACTACCTCAGGTTAGAAACATGACTCAGTTATCCCAATAACATACCAATTAACACAATCAAACAGTCAGGTTATTCCCCTGTTTTATTTCCTTTGTTCCCTTTACAGGTGAAAAGAGCCTGGATGAAAAAGGTTCAGCAAGAATGGAGCATTTTAGAAGCAAACCTTCCTGGTTAGCACTTATCTTATTCTGCATATTGTCCACTGTATTTTATTTTATTTTTTTTTTTTTTCCATTTTCTCTTAAAATTTAATATCTGATGGATAACTTTTTAAAAATAAATGAGTGAATTGCAGTAGTGGGTTCACCAGTCACTGTTATTTCGTGGAGATAAATTTACATTTTTGATTATTTTTTACTAAGTTAAATTGAAAAGAACTGCATAAAATTTGAAAAAAAGAAAATGATAAGATACCTAGTAGGTATCAGCTACATTCTTTGTCCCTCTCTTGCTATAATGTGGTGCTGCGCAGTATTTATCTCCTTATTTTATTTCTTTTACATTTCTTCTATTTATTCAACAAAGAATTCCTCTCTTTCCCTGGAAAAAAAACTACAGAAAAGGGGAAAAGAATTCCTGAAAAACATAATTATTATTGTTTTAGGAAAAATGTATGATCAGGGATTTTTACTTCCACTTGATAACTATTGTTATTTATATATGGTGATAAAAACAAAAATCAGTCAAGTTCTTCATCTGAAAAATGTGACACAGCTACTAACTATTAGAAAAAGCCGGGGCAAAAAAGGATGGGGAAGGGAGGAAGAGAAATAAACAAGATCCCCTCACCTTCGTGCAGTGTTTGGCAATGTTAAAGAAGAATAAGTGCAAAGGAAAATATTTTAAGTTCAAGAAATTATACCACACAATATTATTATATTTTTGGTTGCTAAATGCTTCAAAAAATGAAATGCTAAAAGATGTGAAAACCTCGCTATCTGGCTGAGTCTTATAAGACTTTGGTTTGTTGAACAGAGACAATCTATGTTCGCATCTATGAAGAGAGGATGGATCTCTTACGAGTGGCCATCATTGGTGCACCTGCTACTCCATACCATGATGGCCTCTTCTTCTTTGATATATTTCTTCCTCCAGATTATCCTCATGAGCCACCTGTAAGTTTTTTATGCAACATTTTCATGTGCTTGTCACTGAATTTATGCTTAAACAATGAATGATGCTTTGGATATGCCGATTTAAATAGTGCAAAGACTATTGTGTTTTGGTCATTATCTTTTTCTGTGTTGTAGAAGATTAGAAGATACTATAAATCTGACTTTCCAATGACTGTAGCATGTCAAGTTTCACCGGTTAATAAAAAAATGTCTATATACATCCAACTATAGAAATATACTCATTAAAATGACTCTTGTAAACTTATGCAGTTATCTGAACATAATTTTTATGCAGTTGGTGCATTACCATTCTGGCGGACTCCGTGTCAACCCTAACTTGTATGAGTCTGGGAAGGTCTGCCTTAGTCTTCTCAATACTTGGACAGGGACAGGCACTGAAGTATGGAATCCAGGAAGCTCCACTATTCTTCAAGTTCTTCTCTCCCTTCAGGCTCTTGTACTCAATGAGAAACCTTATTTCAATGAGGCTGGATACGATGAGCAGATGGGAAGAGCTGAAGGAGAGAAAAACTCAGTGAGCTACAATGAGAATGCCTTCCTTGTCACTTGCAAGTCAATGCTTTACCTCCTCCGCAAGCCACCCAAGGTAAGGTCTTAAATTTGGAACCTAACAATTTAGAACTGCAATTTTTTTATTTTCAATTAATTTCTATGTTGGTAATCACTTTTTTCCGTCATTGAAATATCATGTAAAAGATGATTGCTGGATTTTGACCAACATATTTTTCTGTTTAAAAAAAAAAAAAAAAGAAGAACAAGAACAAGAACAAGAGATGAATAATAAACCATTTTCTTTAACTTATTCAAGTGGCATTAAGAGTTTTTAGATGTCAAATAAGATTTAATTTTACCCACCTTTTGGTAGCTGCTACAAGAAGCAGGAATAATGTACCTATGGGTTTTTAGCCTCAACATTTGAATTCTATTTTGTATATATATCTTAGCATTTGAGAATTAGAAAAAAGAAAGGTGGAAGTGCCAATGGACTGAAACTGATGCCATTTAGAAACCCTTGGCTATGTTTTGTTTGATAAGTTGGTGATGTTTGATTTTTACTGATGCAGCATTTTGAGGTGTTCGTGGAAGAGCATTTCATTCGTCAGTCCAACCACATTTTGTCAGCTTGTAAGGCATATATGGAAGGAGCTCCAGTAGGATGTGCTCTTGGATGCAGAGACAGTGGAGAAAATTCCGTGCAATCTTCTAAGGGTTTCAAAATCATGCTTGCTAAGTTATTCCCAAAGCTTGTGGAGGTGTTTTCAAGCAAGGGAATCGACTGCAGCCAATTCACTGAGCCAGAAAATTGAATATCCAGCCGATGTTCAAATAAACACAAATCATCTTATATGAAGACGGTCCTACATTGTGTATAATATCAAGATATGCTTGGTAAAAAATTCAAGCTTTTCTGGTTTTACAATTGCCAGATTGTATCATAAAATTGTTTTGAATAAGCTTGTCAAAAATCACAAGCAGGTTGTGGTGATTATAATGGATTGCAGACTACAAAGAAAGTATGTGAAGTCATTCCTACAGTGTAATATGTAAAATATCAATATATGCTTGGTGATGATTTTAATGTTGTGTGTTTATTTCTTTCACTATTGTTGTTAATAATGTATCAGTATTACAAAAACAGCTTCATAGAATATCTTTTCAGACTGCAAAACAACGTATGTAGAAACAATTGTTGGTTTTGGTGTGCATTTTATATTCCCTGTAGCTTACTGGTAAGAAGAAGAATTTGTTTACAATTACATTGTTTTATACTAATGCTAATGTTATCTTTTGTATGTAGTCTTAATCATGATTTAACCTTGACCTAATAATTTAACATTTCTTTTACAAATTTGGAGCATTTGAACTTGATATATGAGATTGTTTAAATTATATTTAGAATTACTTAAATAACAATTAATTTCTCATTTTCACCTTTTATTTTTTGTTTTAGGTAACTAGGATATCTAGACCCACATTGGAGTCTACTTAATTCTTAAGTTCACTGAATATCTTATAAGTTCAATGGATTAAGATAATTATACAAATGTGATAAGTACTTCTTTTGCAACTCGAACACAAAATCCTCTGAATATAATTAATCCAGTGATTAAAATGTTTGTTATCCGGCCACAAGGGGTGAGGTTTCATTTTCACCTTTAGTTATGCTTAAACAAGGTTTTTATCATCATCTAGGGTAGCAGGTGGAGTAGTATTCACATATCATTCTTGTTAGCTACTTCCACTGATGACTTGGGAACAAGAATGTGATGGTTTATAATTATATTAATGGTTTATGTGAGAAAATAAGGTAAGTAAATTAATTTATAATCTACCCTATTATCTTATGTTTCTTTATTTATAAGATTCTGATCCGAATCCCCATATTTGGAATATTTTTGAGAAATTTTAATAGAATTTAATATATATATATATATATATATTAAATTTTTTAGTTTCTTAATAGGGCCATATTGCAACATACTAATGATGGATCTTTAAAAGGGATATATTACAATGGGTGGGAAACTTATAGGTGACATTTTGGTTACAAGTGATGAAATTATTATATTCTAATGACCTTANACCGATGACTTGGGAACAAGAATGTGATGGTTTATAATTATATTAATGGTTTATGTGAGAAAATAAGGTAAGTAAATTAATTTATAATCTACCCTATTATCTTATGTTTCTTTATTTATAAGATTCTGATCCGAATCCCCATATTTGGAATATTTTTGAGAAATTTTAATAGAATTTAATATATATATATATATATATATTAAATTTTTTAGTTTCTTAATAGGGCCATATTGCAACATACTAATGATGGATCTTTAAAAGGGATATATTACAATGGGTGGGAAACTTATAGGTGACATTTTGGTTACAAGTGATGAAATTATTATATTCTAATGACCTTACTTAGTGCATAAAAAATAATAATAATTAAAACAAATATCTAAAAATTAAAAAAATATTAAGTTAATAAAAGAGTTTTCATTTTGCCTTTTTAATTACGTTTTAATAGAAGAATAAGTATATATATATTGGCCGTATTTGGCGGTAACATTTTATTTTAGCTCAAGTCAGTTGAAGCTTGAATGGTAGTGTAAACGAAATTCTGTTCTTTCTGTACCTTCTTGGAGAAGGCAGAGAGCCACCTATAAATCGATCTCGAACGGTTTGGCTCAGTTTCTCACTCTCTCGTCAATGGAACCAAATACCACTCCTCAACTTTACCCATTAAACTTAAACCCTTCCAAAACCCAAATATGCCTTCAATTTCTCCTCCTCTTCACCGACTCCTTCTTCGTTACAACCGCCGACTCTTACATTTCAAACCCACCTATCCAATACTCCAAACACTGCAATCACATCGTACCGGAATATCCCCTCGACCCCACCAACTCCTTGTCATATTCCTCCTACCCTGCTTCTCTCCGGTTATCCATTGCTTTTTTCTCCGGTGGCGACCCTTTTTTCAATTCTAATCAGATCGACTGGCCCAATTCCGTCGCGCTTCGTCCCCGATTTGGGCGCGCAACTGTTAATAGTACTGTCTTAAGTGTTGAAGCTCGATTGAATCTCGTGATCTCTAGAAAATATGACGCTGATTCGGTGGGCTTCCGGAAATTGCGGCAGGTTAATGTGCGAGGACCGAATAATCCGGTGCGGAGAGGTGTCGCTAGCTTTCGGTTAAGTGGGTTCTGGTCGGAAGCTGATGGGAAGCTCTGTATGGTTGGATCGGGATCGAGTCATTTGAATTCCGGTAAGTTAGAGACGTTTAATGCTGTTCTGAAGCTTATTTATTCGAAGCATTTGAATTTGAGTGTTTTTGATACTTTGGTAAGTGGACTTTTGGAGAGTCTGGATGTTGAGAGTAGTGGGAGTTATTTTAAGCCGCTTTCGATACTAGGTGTGGTTCAGTTTAATGATAGAAATTACGAGTTTGGATTGATAGATAAAGAAATTGGTGATGAGTTAGTTGATAGAAATGATAAAGAAAAGAGTTTATCTCTTGATAGTTTGGATCAAGGTGTGTGTTCAGTGTTAGGTTTGTATAATTTTAACTTTGACTTGGAATATGGTCGTGATTGTGATAGTGATAACGTTAGTTGCAATCCTCTTAGAGGGATTGTTGGTAATGCGCCGGGTTTGATGTCTTTTAAAGGGATTAGGTGTGTGGATAAGGGGAAAATGCAGATATTATTGGGCTTTTGGAACTCTACTTTCAGGGGTGCGAGGTTTCCTTTTGATCCTCACACCACAATGGTTGCTGAGGGGGCTTGGGATGAGAAGAAGAACCAGCTCCGTGGTGTTGCGTGTCGAATCTTGAATTTTACAGAATCTTTGACAAATGCATACATTGGAGATTGCACGGTTAAGTTGAGTTTGAGATTTCCTGCAGTGTTTTCCTTAAGGAACAGGAGTACGATTCTGGGTCAAATTTGGAGCAGCAAAAGGGAGAATGATCCAGGATATTTTAGTAAAATAGGATTTGGAAGTACACGGGAAGTATTAGCGGGTCTCCCGGGTTTCAAATACCAATATACAGTGGTTGATATTGCTAAGAAATCTTGTGTAAGTAAGAATAGTGCTAAGCACAAGGGAAAAAGATACCCCAACGGGCAGTCTATAGACATGAGGTTCGATATATCATTGAGGAATGGCGAAGGACAAACAGCACGGGGTTTTTCTTCTCCACTGTTTATTGGTGATGAGTTATATGAGCATCAGCTATCTGCACACATACATTTGCCATCATCGGTGAAGCAAGCTGCATCTGTTTTTCAGCCAAGTAACCAGAGCAACATACTGGACATCAGCTACAAGATGAGCTTTGCACCTGCATTTCGTTTCAAGTTTGGCAGTGGTGAGATATCTGAAACAGTAGAAATTTCGGCTGAAGGAGTTTATTATAGGGATACAGGTGTCTTATGCATGATAGGGTGTCGGAAATTGGGGTCAAGTTATCGAAAAGAGAAAATGGCAAAAAATGATTCACTGGACTGTGAGATTGCAATTAATATTCAATTCCGTGCACTGGATGCAGAGGGCAGTGACAATGTCAAGGGATCAATTGTTAGCACAAGGGAGAAGTCAGACTCTCTTTATTTTGGACATCTTCAGTTGTCTTCAAATTTGATTTACGCTAGCCAAGCCAAAGAATCTATTTGGAGGATGGATTTAGAGATCACTATGGTTCTGATTTCTAATACACTTGCATGTGTCTTTGTGGCCTTGCAGCTGTTTTATGTGAAGAAGCATCCTGAAGTGCTTCCTGTCATATCTGTTGTGATGCTCATTATTCTTACTCTTAGATACATGGTTCCCTTACTGTTGAACTTTGAGGCCTTAGTCAAGACAGACCGTAACCAGCAGAATGTTTTTCTTGGAAGTGGTGGGTGGCTTGAATCAAATGAAATAATTGTAAGGGTGGTAACGATGGTGGCTTTCCTTTTGCAGTTCCGTTTGCTTCAACTCACTTGGTCTGCAAGACAAGGTGATGGAAGCCAAAAGGACTTGTGGATTTCTGAAAAAAGGGTTTTGTATGTGTCTTTACCATTGTATATTGTTGGTTGCTTGATTGCTTGGGTTGTGTATCAATCAAGGAATACTTACCATCGGCCATACATGATAAATCGCCATACTCGAACTAACCGGTGGCCCTCATACCAGCAGCATTCTCTCTGGGGTGATCTTAAATCTTATGTTGGCTTGGTCCTTGATGGCTTTTTGCTCCCGCAGATATTGTTCAATTTGTTCTTTAACTCAACAGAAAAGGCTCTTGCTGCTTCCTTTTACATTGGAACCACTGTTGTCCGTTTGCTTCCTCATGCATATGATTTGTACCGGGCTCATGGTTCTACTCGGTACCTTGATTTATCATACATATATGCAAATCATAAACTGGACTTTTATTCGACAGCCTGGGACATCACAATACCCTGTGGCGGTCTGCTGTTTGCTGCCCTTATTTACTTGCAGCAGCAATTTGGTGGTCAATGCATTCTTCTCAAGAGGTTTAGACAGAGTTCTGTGTACGAGAAAGTTCCTGTAGTTAACAGTGTGGAATTGCAACATGAACCAATTCAGAAACACTCTTATAGTTCATGATACTTAAAAAGCCCATTTCAAATTAACCATTCCAAAGCTTTGGTATCGCAATATTATTTTCTTTCAGTGGCTGAAGCTCTTCCAATGTGACAACCAATTTTCAGGACAGGTGCGGTCACTTTGTCTCATTAAAGGCATGGTTAGAAATTTGTATGCGATGATCTTAGCTTGCAAGATAATGCATGTAGAATGAGTCACAGGATAGTCGTAATAAGATCTTTTATCTTTTCTTTTATATTTCACTGCAAACTCAAAGGTTTGCATGCATGATAGAAAAATGTGTTTTGGTGGATTTGAAGATGGTGAGAGAATTTAGCCTCTCTTCATTTGTATGACAATAGTTGATGGTGATACATCATACGTGTACAGTGCTATTTCGTCTCTTGAATTGGAAAACGAGAGTAGTTTGTGATACGAGTTGGGTGCAGTTGCGGAACTGAAATTTCTTGTTTTAAAATATTTTTGGAAGAGCTATGATAAAGGTTTGTAAAACAACTATCATGGCTTTGATGGATTAAGGAAAATTCAAGATCCTTATTATGTGAGGAGAATCACAGGCTTTCTGTGAACATATGATTGAACTGATGGGATTTTTTTGCATCTTCATTTTTCTCGTCTCCAGTGGTTGCAGACGAGGGAACTTTTGAAAGCATGCCAGAAAGGGCAGCCAAAATGCCAAATAGCAGAATCAAATTAGCAAAACGTAAAGATTTCAATTATGTAAATAAACAAATCCAAATTGTTACCAAATAACTATTTCAGACTTTCATTATATTTCAAGTTCAAATACGCGCCATTAAATCAGTTTCTCTACAACAAGTCTATAAGAGGAATAAAGCTTCTGAAGAATTTAAGGCAGTCCTGTACATGCAGGGGAACACTGAGGATTTTCTCAAGTGCTTCAGAAACTTTATGCCGTTGAAAGTTGCACAATGGAATATTGATTTTATCAGTTATATATACAAAATAAAGCTGATGAAAAATTTGATAATTAGTGGAAACGCCATTGCCTAATATTCGGAAACTACAATGGAAGCTACACTGTACAGGGCAATGTACGTACAGAAGAAAAAACAAGATAACTGACCCAGAAGTTTTTACTCTACCAACCACTAAGTGCGCTGTGCAGGACAAGACCCAAAGCATAATATAAATTTCGCCGAATAAAAAGCCAAAACATGAAGTTGAAGCAGGCAAAATCGAATTCCTCAAAAGTCATGCAATAAACGGATGACAGTCAGTGTAAACATAGGCAGTCGATATATCAGTATTAGCTAAACATAGTGGTCCCACTGGATTACCTGAAACATGAAGTAAAGAATTACCATCACCCACAACAGTATGATAAAATTGCCAGAAAGGTAACACACATGAATTGAAAATATAAAACACGTTTTGAAGTTGGTTTAGAGAAAGCGTGTTATGAGTAATGAGTTGGTGATAATCTGCAGAAATCAACAGAATAATGAATTTTATGAACTAAAAGCAGATAGGATTAAATTAGATATGCAATTTTAAACAAGCCTAAGGGCTAAAGAAAAGTTACTTAAGTATAGAACATAATTTAAAATGGAACCCTATCCAGGTCCTCAACAATAAAAATAATGTAGCAGCCAATTAGATCCATCAATGGATTTCTTGAGGACTGAGATGTTAATATTTGGCTTCAACAGTAGAAACCCTAGTAAAATTCAACATCCTGAGACCAAAGAATGAACCTACATGAAAAGTTTATCAAAGAACAGTCCAACCATTGAACCAAAATATATACCCCATCACATAACCACACATTCCAAAACTAAAACCCACTAAGACCAACTAGGCATGGAATAATCCGTATTTTACCTTTTCACTTGAACCACAGAATGACAGAACAAATTTGCGGTTAAATCTCAACACAGATACTGAGTTTTTCACCAATAAATTAAGAATAAGATGCATTTGATTTAAATCACATGGGTGGGAATCATGATCATGAAAGATCAACTTTCTCACATGAATGCAAGTGCCAGAGAGACACACATTATTATTAGGTTTTTGCATTGTTGTATCTTTATTTTAAAACAGGAAGGATCCTGCTATAAAAATAATTCCACTTATGTGGCATAGTAAACAATTTTATCTAGTGACATTAAGTTCTAAGAAGTTGTATATGACAAATCTTCAACACAGAATAAGCTTAAATAAACACAGTATTTGCAGTTGATTTACTTAGAGGTAAAACTTTGATTAATGCAAAAACTTCAACCTCATGTTAATTATAACGGTGGTGGACAAGAACTAAGTTTAATATCTAGAAGTTTAAGAAAAAGAATGAGATAGAAAATTACTGAAAAATCATACAGACTTTTTGCCAGAAAGAAGACGAGAAATCTGTAGACCCCTGCTGAATGCTTCATTGAACAGGATCCTTGTCTGCATAGCCTGCATTCCAGGCAACCATGACAGAAATGCCACAGGAGCCATGACAATCACTCCAAACAGCAAATCATACATCCGAGCCAAGGAAACCACTGTATCCCATACCACAGTGGACTGCAGAAAAGGTCTAAGAACCTGGGCAATCAATATTAGGCCCCATCCTGTGGGGATGAATGCCAAGAGGCTGGTCACAAGATCAATAAATTGAAATTTAGTGAACTCCAGCAATAGGACAATCACTAGTATTACGAGCACAATGACTAGCAACTGAACTAAACGATAGTAGATGTGATCCTTTGCAGCATATTTATTTTGAGCATATGCTATGATCACATAGATCCCAACTGCCACAACCATGTATATCCAAGATAGCAAGTAAACAGCTATACTAGTCTTTCCACCAGTAATGCCCAGCTGATACACAACGCCATACTGAAAGAAGAAAAAACGAAGATCTAAAATAATCTCCAACAGCTTTCCCCAAAGACCAGTTGTCCTTAGATGGTCCTGTTCTTCATACCACCATGTTTCCCAACTCTGGTCTGCTTTTGTAAACACCCCACTATACCATATCCAATTTATAAAATCTTCAAAGTCATAGACAGTCTTCAGCCAGTCAAATCCAGAGGGGTTGAACACAAAGGGAGACATTATCCACGACACCACAAGGAACCAGCTTGAGATGGTCATGAGAATGTAAACAAAAGTTTCCTTAGCCAGGGGACTGTGGAAAGCATACACTATCAAAATAACACCCAGCTCAATTGCTTTCACAAAATGGCTTCGAGCATACAGTCTATAGTTCTCAGAAAAGCTCTTATGCTGAACCACGAAACCACGCCCAGTGGCTCGGTACTTAGCACCACCATGAAGAATAGTCCGACCGAAGAAATGGCAACGGGTTCCCAAAGAGAATGTGAAAAAGAATGATGCAAGTTGCAACTGCATAGTCAAGAAGTCCCAAACTGCTGGAAGAAACCCATGCTCTAGAGAGTTCTCCACAATCATTGGGAGAGCAGTGAACAGACCAAGTTGTATGACAAACTGCTGATTCAGAATCGCACCCATGGCAGCATTGTTGGTACTATTCATGGCAGCTTTCTCAACTCCACTGAGAGCAAAATAAAGACGGCCCCATAAAAATGTAAAAACAGTCAAGACCAAGATCAATGAGTTGAAATAGAACCCAACGGTTGTGTAGAAAAAAGAAAGCATCCGAAAGAAATCCAATCTATGACCCAAGCGGTATACATCTCTACTCAATACTTGCTCACCATTGCCACTAGCAACCTTGGCCTCAAACATGGAGATCTGATTCAACCCAACATCCCTTCCCTTTGCCACCTGTATATATTCATGGTGCGTCACATTACCACCTCGCAGTGTGCAATTGAAGCCAGCAAATATATCCTCGCTTATATTGATCACTCTAGAAGCTTTGCTAATCCCACCACGAGGCAGGAACCAGATTCTATCGAACACATCTGGGTGACCATAGTGCATCCGTACCTTCAAAGGGTTTGCCAGAACACGCTGCCCCAGGGTCACAAAACTTGTTTCCTGGGCAGACATGAACCAAGCAAGAGAGGACACAGAACCAGAGAAGATATTCTCACGGACACCCAGTATGGTTGGCTTCCTAATACCATAATAATTATTGAATTCCTCCAACAAATTACGCATCTTCAGTGCCTCCTCAAAATAATTATCTTGGTTCATGTCAATGGTTTGAACAGCATCACCCCGAGTAAAGATTATAGCATGGTTTTGATTTTCTGGTTTGCCTTCCCCAAGCTTCAAAGGACCAGGCAACTTGATTCGATAGATTTCCACCTCCCTCTGCAGCTGCTGATCATACTTCACAAGAACTGAGTAATACTCAACCAGATCCCACCCCAAGCGAACCTCGTCAACATAGGCAACTCGAAGGGCTTCATTGTTTTTCAAAAGATATAAAATATCCTCAGCACGAGGGTCTTTCTTTACCTTGTGCTGCCCATACAACTGGCAAGTGATCACATATGTGAATTTCATCAGGGCGCTCCCATACTCGTGCCCTTTAAACAAAAGACTGACACCACTTCCTGCCGTAAGGAGTTCATTTGAAGATTGTAGCCTAGTACCACCCGAACCCTTGTTATGGCTCCATGAACCATGAGAAGCTAGACGTTGTGAACCCATCCTGATGTCCATCTCTGATGCAGAATCAAGAAAAGCAAGCATCTTGAGAGCCCTGTAGTAATACATCATTCCCCTCACAGTACGGGATAAAGTCTGCCCCCTGTACGATGCCCAAAGACGGAGATCCCTTGCCTTTTTTGACCAGATTTCACTGTCATCCTCCATGCCCTCTCTACGCATCCGCTCCATGAAATTCTTCCACTCATCTTCATAGATCTTCTGCAGATAAAACAGGGTGGAAATTCCATCTTCATTCTCACTTCGAAGCCCTTCTTTTGCATACAACACTTCTTCATCATAATAAGGGGTCAGAACACAGAAGGCCAGCATTTTCTCAACATAAGGTGCACGAGGCATGTTCATAAACAGTGAATTGCTAAAGAAAGCAAGACGCCGTCTTGCCTCAATATTCACAGGCACATTGTGCATTGAATCTCTTGAAGAAAGAATTGTATGCAAACGTCGTAGCTGCCTATAGAAGAAAGCATCTTCAGCATCAGGAAACCTTACAGCATTTTCAAAGAGCAATCCACCGTCAGTGGTCGAGGCTGACCTAAGAGAGGCCAGACCTTCCTGCCGAAGTTGATCAACAGTCCGCTTCACCTTAGGGAATTCTCGTACAGAAAGTTCATATAAGGCCTGCAACACATTCACAGCCTTACTAAGATCCTTTTTTGGTTTCATCAAAAGCTCAACAAGCGATATCAATTTAGCATGAATTTGTGGTAGGACTGCCATCTTGTATGTATCA